TCAACTGATCAAAAGTTGAAAATCAAAAAAAAAATTTACTAACGTTCGTAACAACCACCAATAAAACCATAATATCGTTTCCAACAATATATAAACATCAGAAATCCGTTTTTCATAAATCATTTGTTGTTGGTTAGTAGGATTGTTGTCATTATGTTTATAAATGGAATTTTTGAGTAGGGATTTGTTTTAAAATTTAATTTGTATAACAGTAAAGTGGGGAGAAGTTACATAACAGTTGCCGCTATTACTAAAAGGAGATGCCGGTGCGAAAATGGATTGTGAATAGAGGGATGGAAAGCGAAGGGATAGAGGTCAGATGATCCACGAACGACCCGCCATTCTTCATAACTAACCAGGCGTTTGCGTGTGAAAGGTGTATTGAAGTTAAAGTGCTTAAAATAACCCAGACTATTAGTGAGTCGTCATATTGAATTCGTGTAAGATAATTTGTTGCAGCTCAGCTCAATTCAGGTAATAAGTTTTCGGCAGTACGAGTTGACGCTGATGTTAAACCTAACTAAATTAAAAGTACAGCTGAAATAATTCACTCGATACCGTCACAGGACCTTTTTGTGTTACCGCCATTTTGTTCGTTGACATACCGACTTAGTGACCCTAGTGGTCACTAGGTCTAACTACTAGATCTAAGCTTCCAGAATAGTTGCGGTTGCCAGAATACCAGAAAAATGTGATTTTGGTTCGGTGCTCAAAAAGTTCAGTGTGTCTAAATGCTTTAATGAAGTGATTTTCAATTGAAAATGTTCGTCATTAGTGAACAAGCAATTCTAGATAGAGCTGGAATTAGGGCCTAACAGCTTTTGTAAACAATGACTTCTATCGATGATTTCTAGAAATTCAAGGCTCACCCACGCAAACCAACATCCATGGGGTAGGGAAAGTCTTCTCCTATCCGATGGTTATATTCATTTGCGTGAGCGTGCCTTGAGTTCCTAGAAATCATCGATAGAAGTCATTGTTTACAAAAGCTGTTACGCCCTAATTTCAGCTCTATCTAGAATTGGTTATTCTAAACGACAAAAGTAAAAAGTTTTCCTCAACTTCATATAAAACCGACAACAGCCGACCTAGAGATAAGTATCTCACAACAAAGTGTTGAGAAACTCTTGGCTTCGACAACCATTTCCAGACAGGCAGGGTGCTGAATACATACCGTAATTTATTGCCCTCGCTCAATTTCTTATAAGGAGCAAATTTGTGGATCGAGAGTTCGACTGAAGATATTAAATTTTAATCATGTTCTGCTTGGTGTGAGCTTTCGGCTCCATCTGGGTGTTGAACTAGAATGTAGAGCAGCTATGCCAATGGAAAATCAGCACCAGACTTTATGGCTTTAATTACATCCACCGTTCGTTGTTGCCACCCTGTTTGCTACCCTTCGTTCGTGGCAAGCACACAATCACAATCGGAGCGGAAAGGAAGAGTCAACAAAAGAGCTCGCACCACCACACCGTGATGGTGAGAATGATAACAAACAAAAAGCTGGGAAATCTGCTGCTACCGGCTTTCCACCACTGCACTGGATGCTGATATACCTACGTACCTACACCCCACAACTCTTCCACTTCCGAGAAGTATAACTTTTTAACGGAGCGCGCAAACAGTATTTTATCTTTGCCATCCGAGGTGGTGAACTTAAAATTACGACGGAACAGGTGAAAGCAGGGTAAATGAATGATAACTAGAGCATATTTTTGAGCAAGGAGAGATTTATTAAACCTTTGCCGATTATAATTTTAGCACTGAGTATAATTTGCTTGCTATTCATTCGGGGTTGAGTTATCGTTACGATAATTTTGGAAATTTGAATGATCCTGTTAGAATAAGAAACTCATGATATCTCACGTAACATTTGAAAAGGGACAACAAAACAAACAAAACTTTTGTTAGGCCCTTTTCCCCGGATTGGGGGAAATTCTCTAATAAATTAAAATTTAAAATTTTTAAATCTTTTAAATATGAATGTAATCAGAGTTCTCTTCTAAACATCTTTATTAGACAATATGATTAAAGTAGATGAGATCTCTGTTGAAACAATTGCTTGAAAATTTAAAAAAACTGAAAATTGAAAATTATTGTGCGGTAGTTTTTCACGTTATTTCTCAATTCAATCAGTTTCAGCGATAAACTGTGATGAACTCGACAGCAGGGTTGCTTCCACTCACTCGCTATAAAAAAATGATTTTCTGATTTTTGAAATCATTAGATGTTATAATGATATTTTGTACTAGTTAGATACAAGAAGATATTGAAAGGCAAGTATCTGACGCATAAAACTTGTCAATTTCACTTCCAGAGTGTTACAATCAGCAATTTTTATGAGTCGTGAGCGTTCACTCAGAGTGAGCTCTCGCGAGTCGTAAAACCGCTGATTTTGACTATCTGAAAGCGAATTTGGCAGGTTTTATGTGTCAAACACTTGCCTTTCAACCTCTTCGTGTATCTAACATGTACAACATATCATTATAACATCTAATAATTTCAAAATTCAGAAAATAATTTTTTTATAGCAAGTGAGTGGAAGCAAGCCTGCTCGACAGTGAGCATGAATAAGGGCGAATACACGATGATCGATTCTTTTTATCGATTTTGCATTGCTACAGCTAAGCGAAACAATTTTCAAGAATTTGTTCAATGCAGAGTTGTAACAGGTTGTATTGGCTATCAAAAGCAACAGCAAACGCACCGAGAAACGTTAAATCTAGCGAGTTATTAACAAAAGAGAAAATCGACGAAGAGAATCGATCATCGCGTATAAGCCCTTATGCATGCTCACTGTCGAACTGTTTTTTATTAAATGGTGTTTTGCGATGTTTTTTTTTAATTGGCTACTGATTCGGTGAAGAACTTTCATAGATGCCAGTATTTGATTGCCCGATTCTGGATCGCCACTACCGAGCTTTACATCTCAATCTAGGAGAACTCATGACGACGCATCGATCGTGTTGCCAAGGAAGGAATAAATTGAACATGAAAGTGTTTTGTGATATTTCAAGCCAACAAAGCGTCAAATGTAAATAAGGAGTTTTGTTAACATTGGTGACATTATGCATGTAAAATAAAATAAAAAATAATTATAAAATATATATTTATATAAATAGCTCATATAATCATTTTCCTGGATGCTTTTATTAGATTAGATTAGATTAGATTAGATTAGATTAGATTAAAATAGATTAGATAAGAAACGTGATGATAAAAACTCACTAACATGGTGTGACATAGCTACAAAACATTGGATGGAGTTCACCTGATCATTGAAGTTTGATGAAACTTGAGCGTGATTTTTAAGTAGGAAATCAAGCGTTCTATTTTACAGATTTCATTTAAAGAAGATATCCAATAAATGGTCATTTATTAATAATGTCACTCCGACTTCAGGAAACAAATATCCACTCTATACCTATCGTCACGTTTTTCCTGGACCTAATGCATTGCTTGTCACAAAATATTACACTCCCTCCCACCATGCTGGGTCATAAGGCTGATGGCCATTAGACCGAATGGCTAATGGCCATTAGACCGAATGGCAATCAGCCCGAATGGTAACCAGGCCGAATCTCAGAAATTTTTGTCTCAACACTTTACATAGAAAATTATTCCGTCTTATGTGCGAAAGAAGAAAAAAAAAACTGCTATTGAAAATCTTAGTCGAACTGCAAAGCAACAGTAACAGAAAGAACTGTGCATGTTTGAAAGATGGACACATAATTAAAAACGTTACATTTTGATTTCTAACCATATTTCCAAACCTAAATTTTCGAAAGTTCAGTGCATCTATACAATTTCTTCACTACCAAAAAACATCCAAGTTACTAGATTGGTGAGAGATAAGAACGAGCACCTTTCAAAAGAAGAAAACATATTGTGATGACATGGTGCAAAAAATCACGAAACCAGTAAACTCGACAGAACTACTCTGTTTTAAAGAATGTAATAAGTATGTTTACTAAAAACACATCTCTGGCAGAGCAAATGCAAGAAGCTCCCAACAAAATTTGAAGTGATAAAGAGTTGAATAATATTTTTTTTAGCTGAAGAAGCATATTTTAAGATATTATTCACCTTTCAATGTTTGTTGGGCTGAGTCGACTAGCAAAACTAATGGTAAAAAAAAAATATTTTGTCTGCTCGGCTTCTCACATTACCCATTACCTAGAGGCAAAGGAACTCAACAATCTCAAGGTTCTGAAAATAAATTGGAAATATTTTCAACAAAAAAGAACAAGCGATACTTTGTCCTTGTCATAAAACTGATCGGCATGTAGAAATAAAATGCTGATCTTCAAATAATTTCATGCTTCTGGTAATTGAAAAATTTTTAAACTTTGATGATGCACTGCTTAAAAATCAGATCCCATAAAAAATCGTGATTTTTAGGATTAGCAGAGGATACTCCATAAAAAAATATGACATAATAACGTTTCGAACAAAAACGAGATAATAATGAGAATGCAACATAATCTGTACACTATCTATAAGGTGCAATTTACTTTGAAGTATTTTCAAAAAAATCAAACCCAGTTTTTATCGAAGAATGATTTTAGATTGCAGAAACATGTGAAAAATAATAAAAGGAATGTAACGATCAGAGTGTGTTACCATCTCAAATGATGCGTCGAAAAAAAATGGGTTTCTTATTTTGACAAACATTCCTCTCAGTCAACTGTCCACAACTCGATATATAGTTATAGAACCGTAGAAAAACGGATTTTACAGCGACGATAATTTCGTGTGAAATTGATGTTCTATAACTCGAGTTCACTGTGCCGTGGACCCCCGGTAATCTGACCGTTTTTAATCCGATCACCTTTTTAGTTTGAACCCCGCTAATCTGCACGCAGGGCAAACTAAATGTTGCTCAAATGTCATTTAGCACATGGAATGGAGTGAACCCATTTAATGTGCCGTCCACTGCCACATCCATCGATGATATAATATATGATGATATGATAAGAAACAAAAGTTATTCCACTCACATTATTTTTATCTTTCAAGTTACACTGTAGATTTCCAACTCGTTTGACGATAGCTATTGCAGCAGCATCCGCGAACTAGGAGAACAAATTTATTATTTCACCCGCGTTTTATGAACTTCCAGTAAAAAAAAATTGGCGCGATAAAATATGACACACTTTTTAAGCATAAAAACCCGAGCTATTTCTTCGCTATTCTTCTTCCTGCACTGGTGCACACTCATCCATGACAATCACAGAACTTGAACTAGAAACACCAGTACCAAAATTTGTATCTATCCAAACTGGCAAAACATTTATCATAAATTTTATTTTATTTTTTATATGCTTCTGACCTCGGTGTGCTTGGCCACGTCGTTATTATATTCATAAATTTGCTACCACGCACTACGGGCTGTTATACTTTTTTCTGCGGTATCCACAACTTTCCGATGACTATTCCTATAGACAGCTGTTGGAAATTTATGTCTTCGCTTGAGTTTATTCTCTCACTTCCCAAACTATTTCGCCAGAATATGTCAGCATTTGTCTTCAAATGAAACTTGCACACTTTAAAATTCCACGATTAAATCGATTCATCGCCAGTGCACTATTCCGATTCGTAGTAATTGTCTTTGATTTTTTTGTGAGACATGTTCCCACCCACAATTTTTTTTTTTTTGTAATTTACTATACTGTGTTATTATGAGCAATATTTTTTGCAATACAATTCCGATCCGAACGCCACCAAGTCCAAAACTCAACTGAAACTGAAACTTCTTAGTCGCTTCCTTTTTGTGAATTCCGGAAGCTCGGTTCTCGTTTTTGAAACGATACGATGGATGAAATTCTCACACGGTTGCTAGTTTTCGTGATTTCATATCCATTATACTTTCCTTGGATTCCTGTAAATCGACCAACACTGTTCAGATCGTTCATCTGAAGCACGTGGTGCCGAATTTCTCTCTGAGTAGGCCTTCGAATGCGCAAGTCTCTGTTTATGTTTACTGTCTGCCTTTGCAATCATATCAGCTAAGCAAGCTGGAAAACGCCGGCCGGCTAATACGGAGTCGCATCGCATGCTTACGAAAGACCGTGTGCACGTTCGGTCCCAGCCAGTGTGGTTAGTTCTACGGATTTTTAGATTTACTACGGATGTACGGACCGACCATAAAATTCGGATTTTCTAGATTTTAAGGGATTTTTTTAAGTACCGAAGAAATTCTACGGATTCTAAAAAATTCCGTCATCATTTGAACTGTTTTTGGAAAATGGTTATTAAATCAAGCAATAATAAACGCAATGGAAACAAATTTACCTTTCGTACTCCAAGAAAAGTTAACAACACTGGTCCCAGCAGACCGCGATGAATGTTTGCAAGTGGTGGTTTATTTGCATGTAGGGAAAATGTAACAGTTGGGAAAAATCTTTGCAGCCCATCTCCTTGGCTGATTTGGGTCGGAATGTGGTTGGAACTCAAGTCACATAGCACAGCGGTATTTAGCAAACGAAATGCATGTTTATTTTACAGTCACGACATGTCCGTCATTCGTCTGCGGTGTAGAGAAGATAAGGGCTACGACCGAGAGAAACGAACGATTCCATCGAGCTGGGAGCAGAGGTCGGTTATTTGGTTTACAATGTATTAATTGTTTTAATGTTCTTTTACCATCCATGGCACGAAAGATCCAACCATAAGATACATAGCATTAAAATCTGATTAACTTATCCATCATAGGTGCTTCTTCTTTCTTCTTTCCTTTATTTAACGTCGGTCTCTATCCGCAATCTAGTGCCAATCACCGACGGACATCGATTGCCAAATCGAATGTGCAGGAAGGCAGCTTCCACACCTGTGTAGGATATCGCACCCATTCAACAAACATGGGCCGAGCCGGGACCAACGGCTTTACGTCCCTTCCGAAGTAAGACCTTTCCTTTATTTAACGTCGGTCTCTGTTCCGCAATCTAGTGCCAATCACCGACGGACATCGATTGCCATCCATTGACGGCAATCGAATGTGCAGTAAGGCAGCTTCCACACCTGCGTAGGATATCGAACCCATTCAAACACACATGGGTCGGCACCAACGGCTTTACTTCCTTTCCGAAGTAAGACGTGACCAGAGATTTTTATGCCTCAGAAAAATCCCACCGACCTCGGCTGAGATTGAACCCAGACCCATTGGGGTTAGAAAGCAGCAGTACTTGAAATCGTCATCCATGTGGAATATTTGGTTTTGTTTTGACGTAGGACTACGTCTTTGATTTCTATATGGGGTACACTTTGTGAAAACCGAAAATGGAACATGTAACAAATTAAGAAAGATTTTGAACGTTAATAACTCAGCTGCCCCTGGTCCAATTTTAATAATTTTATCACCAATCGATCAAAAATATGGCTACGCATCGATAACAATGCTTTTGAATGATGATTTTGAACAAGAAACTATTGAAAAAGTAGTAAATGTCCAGCATTGTCCAAAAGCGTCGAATTAACTAACAAATCCACCAATTACCTACATGCACATGCTGCTTCCCCAGCACAGTCGTCAGAGAGTAGTAAGTAGACGAAACAAGTTGAAGTGGCATTCGCCTCCAATCCTCGGGCGCGTGCGAATAGGGAGGATGGAATTGTGTAATATTTTGCACACTCATCGCCATATTCAGAACCAAACGCATATTCTTCGAGATAACTACCATCCGTCGTCTGGCTCGCCGTGGCGGTGTCTGACGTATCTCCGGTCTGATTTACGAGGTGTGCTGAAGGTGTTCCTGAAAAATGAGATCCGTGATGCTGTCACCTACTGCCATGGATGTCATCTACGTTTTGAAGTGACAGAGACGCATTCTGTTTGGTTTCGGAGGTTAAATCATCACCTACTTTGGCAACAAAACGGCTCTTTTCAGGGCCACCAAGCTTATTACAGTAAAGAGTAGGAATAGAATTCATCTGCCTGTTTGTCCATATTCGGAACCAACGACCACACAAAATGCTCATGTAATCAAACTGGAAGCAGGGGTAAAAATTATTTTGATCAACCTTGATCAACTTTGAATCGCCACGGCCGGATATTTTCGATGGAAGAAGCAACAATCTAGCATCTAATTCGACGAAGACGGCAGGAAACATTTTTGAAGCCGAGTTATTTATGAAAGAGAGTTTCGATGAAGAGAATCGATCAATGTAGATATGTTTTCCCAGGTTTTTCCAGGTTTTTCCAGGATTTTCCAGGGAAAACTTCCCGAATTTGAGAAAAGTAAAGATTGGATTCACTCAGTCTATTGGTACTACTCCGAAACTGAATAAAATTTTCGTCAATTGCCTCCTTTTCTGGCAGATTTTTTAGGTTTTCCACAGGAAACCATGCGACCATGTTCTTGCACTTTTGGCGATTATGAGTGAACTAAACTCAAATTTGAGTCGTTCTCATTCGTCGTGTTTGCAAAAGCAAAAGAGCCAGTGTCGCTACTTGATAGCAAACTACTCATAATGGGAGGAGTCTTTGTAGCTTTTATACCACTTGGTTGCACATCATTCTGCTTTAACCTGAAAAGATATAAAAGAGCGATGCTGTATGGCATTAGCTCATTTTCGCTTCGGACGGCGTGGTGAGCAGCAATAGCTGCAGTAGGAAGGTGGTGGCTAGTCCACTCCGTCACACCCAACAAGCAACAATTGACTGGTCGTGGCAAATGAGGAAAAGGTCTGGTAAAGGAGGTGCCAAGCGTCATCGCAAAGTTCTTCAAGATAACCACCATCCGTCGTCTGGCTCGCCGTGGCGGTGTCAAACGTATCTCCGCTCTACGAGGTGTGCTGAAGGTGTTCCTGGAAAATGAGGTCCGTGGAGTTGTCACCTACACTAAACACGCCAATCGTAAGTGGCCATGGATGTCCTGTACAATAAAACGGCTCATATCAGTAAAGAGTTGGCTTATATCAGTAAAGAGTTGGAATGGAATTTATCTGTGCCTGTTTGTCCATATTCAGAACCACAAGCCCCCAAAGACCACACAAAATGCTCTCCAGAGTTGTAATCTTGTAACCAAACTTGGAAGCAGGGCTGCAAGTGATTTTGATTGATTCTTAATCAACTTTCTCTTTGAAAAAGATAACCACAAATTCGTTACGCCTACAAGTCAAAAACGGAAAGAGCTGAGATAATAGATAATTGATCAATTAAAAGAACTAAATGCTCTTCACATTAATTCCGTCCACTAGTGGTCCTACGTCAAGCTTCCGTTCGTGCCCCTAGGTACAGACCCTTCTACTTTTTGTTATCGATTTCGCAGTCATCCGGTTGGTACTTCCACTTATTTTTAATGAGATTTTTTATTTAATTTAATTTAATTCAGATTTATAAACTTGTCACAGCGGTTATAATCTTCTGGGTTTTAATGTGTGGTAAGGTACGGTACACAAATCACAAAACGCAAAAAAAAAATCCGAATTTTGGACCCCCTCCCCTCGCCGAGATTTCAACAGCTGAGTAATTCTGCAATTTATTTTGCTGACATTCAGTAAAACAATTTCCGAGACTCAGCTAACAAATAACATTTAGCTGAGATATCAGCTAACAAATAAATATTTTGCAGATAAGCAAGTAAATGCCAAGCTAGATTAAGTGTGTAAGTAATAATAATTATTAGTAAGTATAATAATTAGTAATTGGGGCCTCCCTTAGCTCAGTCGGTAAATGCGCAGCTACAAAGCAAGACCATGCTGGAGGTGGCTGGGTTCGATTCCCCGTCCGGTCTAGGAATTTTCCAGGTTGGAAAATTTCTCGACTTCCCTGGGCAATAGAAGTATGATTGTACTTGCCACACAATTATACTAATGCAAAAATGGTACAGGCATCGAAAGCTATCAATTAATAACTGTGGAAGTGTATCTAGAACACTAAGTTGAGAGCACGCAATAAGCTAATATGCGATATGCAATAAGCTTGAAATTCGAAGAAGAAGAAGAAGAAGAAGAAGAAGAATTAGTAACTAAAGATATAATAATTAGTAGTAAGTATAATAATTAGTAGAAGTATTAAAAACAAAACAAAACCGAAACAAACCATACACGGTAAGAATTCAATTACATTTTATGAGTAAAATTTAACCCATGTTCAATAAAAGTGGCTTCACTCATTAGTAAGTAAATTATTATTACAATAATGAGTTGCTGCTAACAGTAGCTAGTTACTACTTCAGTGCCAACATTTCAAAGGGGCGTAATTGCTTTTGTAAACTATGGCTTTATACGTCGGTTTCTGGCAAATGAAAACCCACCCTTCCAAATTACAAATGCTAGCTGATACAGGAAACATTCCTCTGCGTGCTGGTGTCATTCATTTTCGTTATCAAATGTTACGCCTGAATTTAACAACCCTATTTTATAAGAGTGTTTCACCAACACACTTAGGTTGTGTTCCATTTGGTGAATTTTCACTTAAATTTGACAGATGGGAAATTTTCAAATAAACCTGCTATTCCAGCAGACTTATTTCTGACAGACAAGGCATCAACGGTCGATCAACAACTGAGGGATTTTCGAACATCTTAATTTATTTTTCAAGTGTCAAATTTAAGTAAAAAATTCCAAATGGAACACAGCTTTAGATGGGCACCACCG